TTTAGTCTCGAAACGTTAACCATTACCCCACACTGCCATAAGGGCCCTTGGAGCACAGAGTAGATGTGCATTTTGAGTAATCCTAGGCAATTTCCACATCACATTTTTATAGTTGGATTGTCAATGAAGCAAAGTGGTATTTTCTATAGCAATCGACTATATTACTTGTATTTGTTTTGAGTAGTTCTCGAAACTACCACTTCATCCGAAATAAAGGCTACCTAGGATGAACACAAGCTCTAACGGTAATTTCGAAACCTACTCAATACAAATATAAACTTATATTTTGCCACTACAATTAACAGCGTTGCTTAGATTCCAATAAGGCAGATTTAAAATCTATCAGGACTCGAGATAGTCTGCCACAATCCAGACATGGAAGTCTATGTCAAATAATTGAATGTTATGAGTGAGATGAACGCCTAGTCATCTTTGGTGAAACAGAGGAAAGAAGATTGAGGCAAAAGTAAATGGAATAAATTGGCTTAAAACAAGCGTTCATGAGTAAAGCATTTTCTACCGACGTAGGCCATCGTCAGAAGACGACAAAAAACCGGTTCCACAAGGTTTAGAGTGAAGCGAATATGACTCACTGCAGCGGCGATGATTCGTAGAGTGTCGTTATTCTCCCTCCTTTTGTCGAGCAAAAGTTCAGCAAACACCTCTTCAAGGTTTTCGTAGTCCCCCTTGCCGGTTGCCTCTCGTCCTTTTTGCACCCTACCGGAGTTCCGACCAGTTTGCCTGCCTGCCTCTTGGTTCCCATTTCTTGGCCTATTAGTTGTCTCAGAGGCGACAAGTTGGGAAATGGTTTGATGATGCTGGTTTTCATGTAGATACTCGTGAGGATGGTTGCGATGGTACCGGTGATGGGGCGAGGCTAAAGGTCGAAGGGTATCATCGGCTCTCGAAAGTTCAGTCGGCTGGGCCTCTACAGTTCTAGTCATTCTTGAGTCGGAGTCCCGTTCAATTGGTCCTTGCCTCGATTCTCCAGACACCTCGACTTGGTCGGATGGAATCAGCCTCGGAATGGCCGAAAGATCAGAGGCGAACCTGTCAGGCAAGTCCGACAGGGCGAATTTACACTTGGCGCCACGGCCATCTTCACCACATACTCGGTCTTCTTCACCAACCGTCCGGCCGGTTTTGACGGTTGTCAACTGGTCAGTCGACAAGATTACATGCTTTCGGCATGAGTCGTTGGGCTGAGTGAGATCGAGTGGTTTATTGACAGGATCCTCCAAAGGTGACTCAGTAAAGATTACAGTTGGCCCCACGGAAACCGGATCTGTAGAACCTGGACTAAAGGCCATGGGTGACGATCTGGATGCTTCGGCAAGAGTTAAGCGATCGAGGTAGGAGCAAGTGACGAGGTCGAGTTTTGGAAGTAAACGAAGTTGTCGTTTTTCTTTTGGAGGCGGCAGGAAAAGCGGAAAATGTGCCAAAATATGCCAGAAATTAAAAGATGTATTTAACCCATTTCAATTAAGTTAATAAAAAAATGGTAGTTGAATTTTACCACCATTCAATGACTAGGCCTCATGTTTGAATTGAATTTCAGACAGCTTTACTTCCCAATAGCTATTCTCCTCCAGACAGGAGCAAACTGCAGTTTCGACCCCGCCCAAATCGGCCTCATCAGCATTAGTGGCAGGACTCGAACCCGGCTTGTGTTAGTGCAGCATATAGTCTCGACACGTTAACCTTTACACCACATTACCACGATGGCTCATGGGTCCCAGGGCAGAAGTGAATTTAAAAGAAGCTTTGCCTTTTCCATATCGCATTTGCCGACGAAGCAAAGTTGTATGTGTCATAGGAATCAACTAAATAACTTATTGAAATTGTTTGAACTTGTTCTCGCAACTTGGTCATATTGGTAGGAAGACCAATAGGAAAGTAACTTGTCCTGAGTCCATTGTATGCATAATTATTTTCAAAGTCGGACCCTGGACC